CACAGAGATGATGATGTGGGGTCCCAGGGTACACCAAAGCGAGTCTAGCTATAACTTGTGTGGGTGGTGGAGGAGGACGAGGGGTGGACGGAGCGGGCAGGCGATGGGCGATGGACCTTTGCGAGATCTTCAGTCTCTGGAGGCAGGCGAGCGAGTGAGCAGTGTGGGATCCACAGCTGCGTGCTGCCACATGAATACCAGAAACGGTAGTATTATGACCATCCGCATGCGAGGAAAGAAGATCACATCACCCTGCACGAAGGCCAGCATCACTCCCCAATCCCCTTGGCGCTCATTGTCACTGCTCGCGCCTCACGGCTGGCCGGCCATCCTCGACCGAAAGTCAGACCGGCAGGCGTTCTAGCTCGTTAGCCCTTCCCCAATACCCCCTCCCTGGCTTGTTGTTGTTCCGCCCAGACCCGAGTTGTTAAAGCGATCCTCCCTCACAATCATTCTTGCAGGTGTGCGCTGGACTCAAAAAATCTCTGACTCCCCATTATACTTCCCGACTTCAAAATCTATGGCTTACGCTGGAGCTGGTGCTACTCCCAACCTGTACTGTAATGCTTCCTTTGCTCACTTCCTACCGACGTCGAGCTTGGCCCTCAATCCCACCTGAGCTATGCACTGGTCCTCGGGTCCTCTGCCAGCTCCAGTAAGCCCCTCCCTCCCTCCCTCCCTCCCTTGCCGGTCTCCCTGAGGACTCGCCTCCAGGGAGCAGGAGAAAAATTCAATGTGCACGCCAAACAGTCAAAAGCGATGAATTGAACATGTTCTTGTTGATTTGGTCGTGCAACAGGTCAGGGATGAGTGTGCTAACTGGTTCGGACCCGAAATGCTGGTCAAGGGCATTAGTCATTAGTCATTCGGGGCATGCCAGGATCTATGAGCAACCAGATCTTCTGCATGCGATGCGAACTCATGCGCATGACTAACACCTGGTTCTAACTCCGGTTCGCTTCTTCACCCACGGTAGCCATCGGGCACGATCCGATTTGCGACAGGAAACTCGAGGAAGTGCGAGACGCACACTTTAACTCCTTCTGACACACTGCACCATATGTTCCATAGCCGCTCGTTGCAATCAAGCCACACCGACTTACGGTGGTCTGCTTTGTCGACTTGTGGTTCGCTTCCTTGATCTGAGTAAGTCCAAAGCAGTAAATCGCACCACATGTATATTTTACCTCCATCGGGACATTGTAGTCCAAACTTTGAGATCCGAAGCAAAGCTTAGATCCTGTGTATATTACTCATACATGTACATTGCATATACATTCCTCCCTAGAAAATTCTTCACCTCTCTAGCCGCTTTTTCTCTTCTTCCCTCCAGCCTAACAGTTCGAGGCTGCTAGGCTTCATCTCACCATAGACCTACTTCGTGAGGCAATGAGTTTTTATATACATATAAAAATAAAGATTTGAATATTTAATAAATACATAAATTTATTCTTCTGTGTCTCATCGACTGATTTGTACCCTTGAAACACTAGGGACTAGAAATTCCGAGTCGAGGACTATATACAAATCACTCTGTCCTCATTTCAGTTCCCGATACAGTAGATGTGTTGAATAAAGTAGTCAGAATGCATGTGATACGGGGGAAAAGCGCAAATCGTTTTTTTCATGCTGCGAGGCATAGAGATAAGTTCCGCCCTCATCTAACCGACATGTAGATTAACGTATGCGTCAGGTAGTGCCAAGGCAATCTCATTGCATGCTAATCGAGACAGCACTTTATAGCTCGCGCATCAATTTCTAACCTTTGATCATAGTCCGCAGTATACTGATTGACCGCCAGCTTAAGAAGGAGCAAAATATTATATGCACGTCTTCCAGACGAAACTCTCTCTTGTTTATTGCAAGAACTTGTTTAATGCTTTGAGTTCCAAAATGGAACATTTACAAATGATCACTTCCTTGCCATGGTCCTATGTAGTACATGGCTTATCAAAACATCTGCTACAAAAGAAAGTTGTCTGCATATGTATCTCTACAGCAGAGCAGCCAATTTGGTCGATCTTCCCATCTCCATGGAAATAAGAATTGAGTAGATTTGGTTACATCGGTGCCTCCATGCGAGCTTTCTCGATACATCAACTGGAGACTGGTCTCTTCTTTCTGTCTTTGTTTGCGTAATGGGTTCGAGAGGTTTCCTTCAAGTATACCTTGTCGGCAGCAATGGACATGACAGGGATTTTCTCTGATCATGGAAACTGTTGTTGTAGACCTTAGGGAGGACTGTTTCGAAAACTACGGAGATTTCAATATTTTGAAACGTGCCATCAGGTAAAACATGTTTAGGATTCTTCAGAGTGAACTTTCACTATCCAGTAGCAAAAGCGCAGATTAAACGAGTTATCAGCTTCTAGCTGCCGGAGGAATCAGAGAAAATTTGCCACGCAATGTATATTTCGCAAGGTGAGAAAGGGGAAGGTGAAAAAGCCAGAACTTGTTTACGTGTATAGCATCCTTTTTGGCGGACTTTCATGATCCAGTAGCAGAAAGTGGATCTCGGACGCGTTCTCTGCATCGTAGCCGCCAGCAGAATGTGACGTTTGCCACCCTACGTATGGATATAAGGTGTGTCCAAAGAAGGGTGAGTTTCGTGAGTTAAGCTCTCATGGAACGTGAACCAAGGGTTACAAAAATGTGATTCTGGAATTTCCTTTTCTTCCGTTATTAGTTGTCTGTTGGTCCCAATCGCCTCGTTAGAATGAATTCTATATTTTGAACGGCGGAGCTCTACATATCTGACAATGATAGTCGAGAAATGAGGTTATGTGCGGATGCTTTCTAATCAAGATGTTGCCTAATATTTCGGTTTGGTTACTGTGGTTACACCTTGTTTCCCTCCAGTTAGCATACCCAGTGTGCACAAAGTTTTCCCCAAGAAAATCGATTCGATTGGCGTGTGGTACTCCCATCCCACTCCGTTTTGACTACAGTAGTTAGGCGAAATATGAGTAAAGTATGGCTACGACGTTAAAAGCTTGGAATGTTACTCCAGTTCAGTGCAGGTGAGTCTGGTAAGAAAAAAGACTAAAAGGAAAAGGGAAGAGAACTGGAGTAGCCTTTGTCTGGTAGTAATAGAAAGATAGGGAGGGCAGGTTATCATTTTGAAGTGCGTGTAGGGAAGAAGCTTTGTTCTCTTTTCTGGCAACGTGTTTCAGATGAGGTGCATGACGTGATGCACTAGGCGGAATAAATGCCAAAATTGTGACCTTTCGATGGAACCAGAAGGGGCAGTGTTGATTTTAGTGGGGAAAATAAACGATCTGCAATCTTTCACAACAAACCAAACCAAAATCCCTTCTGATGATTGGTGCAACTTTTCCATCTCAAAAGATATCACCCCAGCACACACTACATTGAAATGTCGTCTTCGACTTACACAAGGGCTAAAGGCTGAAACCATATTCTCTTATGTCGTCTTATTGCAGTCGTCCCATTCATCCATTCTTCTATTGAACCTGATGTTACACTGCTGCTACATTCCGCCCGCTTCCGAGAAACAATAATGTGTTCGACATCGCAATCGCAGCTTGAGACTGATGTCGGTTACATGGCTTACGTATGCAGCGCTTGCCGTTAATGGGTATTAGCGCCAAAGCGGATGACGTAACCAGCTTGAGTGACATTTCGATACGCATCTTTGGCGAGAATACCAAATTGCAATTGTCAGGTTTTCCGAACTCTATCATGTTCAAAACTACTAGTGGACTCACCACTATGATACTTGAATACACCGTTTGGAACATGTCATGATCAGTACCAAGCTTGCACCCTTCCAGAGCGCAAGATTAATATATGATTAGTCTCTTGTTGAAAGCAACGTGTAAAACCCAAACTACAATCGCATTAGAAACTAGTTACATGAAATCCAGTGATTGGGACTAGAGTTCGTGAATCACTTTCCAAGGACAACGATCTGGGCTACGACTGTGCCTTGTCCTAATCGTATAAGGTCCAACAAGATTTACCACTCGTGATGTGTACATCCACTTGGGAACAAGTCTTGATCATTGTCTTCCATATGGTCAGCAAATCTCGCCCAGAGCAAGCTAAGAAGATTAGCGCAGACGGTGCTGGGACCCTGATTAAGTGACAAGCGGTTTATTACTTATTTAGTAGCATGATTTAGTCCGAGTATCCAAGCGCAAGTCTTTTGGCCTCCAGATTCCGTTGTCCTAAATCTATCATGATATGAGATTCAAATGAGAATAAGCACCAGTGATATCCGGTTTTGGAACAAGTCGCGATCATCTAGCTCGCACAAAGTCAAAGTGAATTTTATCTCCTCGAACTTCTCAGCTGTATTGAGACCAAGCTGCTTTATTCTCAACAAAGAATTTTTCTATACATTACCGCACGCTATCCGCAGAGTGAAGCTCATCATTCTAAAATTTGATGGGGAGGTGGTATTGTTCTGAACAGAGAATAAGGAGAGTGACTAGAGAGTAGGGAGACAGAGTGGCTCGTGGTCAATCGCTGGAAAGCTGGAACGTGTGAATCTGCTACAGATGAGCGGAATCGTTTTTACTGGCAGGAAGTTGGAGTGCATTGACCTAACCCCTGCTGGTAATCAGAAGAGCACGAGTTAGAAAGGGTAGCAGCCTGCGAATGCCACCACGGACTACACTATCAAGGACCTTCAAACATCCGAAGAGCTGCGATCGCCCTGGACGAGCTCAATCAATCAGTCGGCCATAAAGGACAACAACTCCGACTCTGTTACTGGGCCCCCTGATGTGGCACACGATTTCAGATGGTTTTGCCCAGGCAACGGTGGTCTTTGCAGAGGCCCAGACGTGTTCTCGATTCTCGCCAGCCCACATCCCTGCCGTCGATCCGACGACCATTCCGCAGGATTATGGGTTACGGACTCAGTCCCATTAGTGCCATCTACGGCAGCATAGACATCCCCCTAGTCTCGGGCTGCTGGCGTGGCCAGCATATTCCACCAGCTCATTTCCTTCTTATCCCTTACAAATCGCTCTATGCATCCATCAACAACGAGTTCCAACTCCGCCGTGGCCCTCGTAAGAAGTTACGAACCCGCGCGCCTGCCGCATTATCCTACCACTCACGGGAGTGGAGAGGCTCGTTTCATGGAAACGGCATGGCCGCCTGCTCTGGTCAGGAGCACTGGTTCGTTCGGCCGACCGGTTTGGGCCCCGGAATTGCTGAACGAGCTTGACCTTCCTCGGCCTGCCGACGCGCAGACCGATGAACACTCCTGCCTTTACGTCGGTCCTCATTCGGGTCTGAGTTTATTCTGTTCCGGTTTCGGTTTGGATGAGGATCAAGAATCTAAGCCAGCGCTTTGACTTTCCACGGTGCGCTTTGCCAGACTAGGGAGAACTGGAAGGGGGAATCGCGAATTAAGCAGATGCTCGAGGTCGTTCAGATAAGGATCTGACCTTGGATCCATACAAAACACAATGAGGACGACCGACCTCTTCCAACAAATTATCGGTTATTATGAGATTCTAAAATCCCAGAAGTTCGATGAGTGAAGAAAGTGACCGGTGAATATTCTACTGCTTTCCTTCTTTCCACGCATAAAATAGTCATGCAAAAATGCTGAGTAGACGTAGAGTATGGCATTCGGCTGCAAGTCAAGTCCAGTAGACTCGTGAGGAAAATGGTCGTGGGCATGATGATGTCAAACGTTACATGAGTCTAGGAGAAACGGAACGGAGCTCATGAAAGTCCGCGTCATAAATGCGCAAAGCAGGAGGCGGAGTCCGTGATGGTGTTAGACATATAATTGGGGGGAAGACGGGTTCGAACCGGTGCTACTCCTGCATCAGTGGAACTTTCAGCTCGTAAACGAGTGACTCCTGTCGACATCGAGATCCAGCTGGGAATGCGAGAGTGGATAATCTCGAGAGAAAATGTGGACCGTAGCAAGCGGAAGGCCCAATGCATCCCCTCTAACGCGTCGGCGTCAACAAAGTGATCGCTCCTACCACATTTAAGATCGGTGGATCGCAGTCCCGAAGGCCGTGACCCAGCCCACACCAAGAGACTCGTCGAGAGATATTATTCACTCATGTCACCAAGCCCACCCATCGAAATATCGAAGGTCCACTTCCGAGAGAATCGACCATGCAAGGGAACAACGAGGCTGACCACCGTATCCTTGGGCACGTGGACTAGTCCGTCCTTCATCTGCGGACATAACCTCGGTGTTGGGTCTACCACGTAGCCCGCCATGGTTTCAGTTCGTCTAAGTTGCAAAGTAGCACATGCGAGACTAGCTCCCTTCTGTTTAGGCCATATGGCTGCGTTTCTGGGCATCAATTAGCCTCAGCTTGGTATTGCATTAGTTTGTATTCTCGCAAACCCCATACTTAGAGGGCTTGCAAATGAAGTACAGCCTAAGACGGGTTGAAACTCAACCCGTCATGGACTCAACAAGAAATATGGAAATATTCGACCTCCCTTACGCAGGTTAGTGAAGGAAGGCTAGGGGTCCAGTTCTTCTTTGTGGAAAGGAAAATCGAATCGAAAGAGAGCAAGGGAAACCGACAAAATACCACAACGAGAGCACCCCACTCTATTATAACAGGGGTTGGATTGTTAAAAATCATAAGTTTAAAGAAAGTAAGGAAAACCGATATATCAATTTTATATTAGATATACATGATTTTATCACGTAGCTCAACTAGAAAGAAGGAAAAATAATATCAGGAAGACACAGATAATCCCTCTTCGATGTGCTGTGGTTTTTTATCTCCGAAATTGGAACAAAGTACGAACACACCGGCTACAAAACCAGACACATTCCACTGACCCACTCTCGGATATTGGCTATGGCTCGCGTCGTTGTCCCGATCGGCGTGATTGAGAGAGGGAGATTCGGGCCGTGAAAGGTCCGGGAAGTGCGTGGGGAGGGGGGGAGGCCATGCTGATGTCCGAAAGGAGAGGGGGATGTCGCCACATGTAGAGACGCATGAGTAGACGGTCTTTGACTTGACGCCATCGCGGACAAATTTAGAGGTGCACAACCAGTTGACATAAAAGAACCAGGCGCCGAGACAGACTGTCGAGCCGGCCCGAGAGGCTCAGAGCTCCGAGATGTCGACGAGTCAGACGAAGCGCGAAAGCTAAAACCTCATAAAGAGTTGCTAAACACGCAGCACGCGAGCTCGCACACCAACAACTCCGGGCTAGAGAGAATCCTGGATTCCTAGCCCGGTCTCGGCTCGCTGCGAATGAGAATCCTCCAATTCCCACTAAAAACACTCGGGCCCCTGAGACATTTGACTCCTCCAGTGGAGGAAGAGCAAGCGCAGCAGCGGAGGAGGAACACCAACCAAATCGAATACAGAGCTGGACCAAACTCGCTGGCCAAAGTCGGCTGCCACGTCGATTTATTTTGGGCCTTTCGTGACCTCTACCAAGTACTGTGTACCATCGAATTTCCATTATTTTACAGCGCAAACGGCGAAGCAATCAAGATGCTATGAGTCAGCAGTGGACACGCAGCCGACTGTTTGTCTACAGCCAAATCCATCAGCATGCCAGCCAAAAATATCCCTCGCCGTCCCTCGGCTCTCTCTCCACTCTCTCCACTCTCTCCACTCTCGTCTCCCCCTCATGGCAAAGCATCGAGTCCACCAGACGCCGTCGGATTCTCGATTCGACGGCGTAAGGTTTCCGTTGCCTCGTACCTCGGGTTGGTCCGGGTTTGGGGTTACGGGGGGCTCCCAAGCCGACACGAGATGGTCGTGGGACTGCGTTCACCGACCCGACTCAACCCGGGTCACTCTCCACTAACCAGGGTCAGATGTGGCGCGGGTTGGTGGTGGCTATAGTCTGGTTCGGGGCTCTGAGTTCTTTTTTCTTCCCCCTCGTCTCTCCAGCCTCGTGCGCTGAACTCAGCAGCCGGAGCAGTAGAGATCAGCGATTGCACAGTTTGCACAGTCGTTGGGCTTCAAATTGTGCGCGTGATTCTAATCCGGAAAGTGGATTGATCCTCCTGCTACTGCTTCAGTTGGGCCGGGGTATGCATTGCTCTGCCTCTGGTTGCTATATATTCTCAGTTGGATTGTCTGATTGGCACCGGGTGTTTTTGAATCTTATCCCCCGGCTCGAAAGCTTGACTCTCTTTCTCTCTCTCTCTCACATACACACTGTCTATCTCTCATGATGCAAGTGGGTCTCGATGGGACGTGCTGCACTGTTAGATAGATGTCGATGATGGAGTGAGACTCTTCTTTCATTCTTAAGTGTCTGCCCTTCCTTCTCCTTTTGGGAACGGTGAATGCTTCTCAGCTCTGAGCGTCGATCGGATCGCAATTGCTGGTGCTCAATCAGGTAAGCAGATGTTGGTGTCTGGGCAACGGGTTGAAGAGATGTGAGAATCATGTGTCTGCTTGCTGTTGTTTTGGTGACAGTTGTCCAGTACAGTCGAGGAGATTTTCGCTGCAGGACTCGTTCGATAGATATCCTATAGCCAGCTTCTGTAGGGGATGATGCAGAAGAGCTTGCAGTAGAACGCAATCAGAGAAAGAGCTCAATATTGTCAACGAGCGCCTCACCATGAAGCTTGAAAAGAATCCCCCTGCTATCACAAATGCGACGCAGGTGCACAGGCTCTCGGCTGAGCTCTGAGTCCTACGTATTATATCGAAAGAATGATGGCGCAGTTTCACGAGGGAATTTTAGAGCTACTGTTCGTATGTACACCTCAGAGTTTATTTCCTGGGCAGGTTTTTCTCGGTCTGGCCTGAGCCTTTCCTCCTGTCAAGAGGAAGTCCCATGACGTAGTGTTCAGTGTAGGACGTGAGTATCAAAATGTCTCCGATGTCGATCGGGAGAAACTGTTTCAAACAGGCGTATAGAAACGACAGCTCCTAGGAAGCGATCAGTGTCTCTGCCCACTACATTAGAACACAGTCGCCTGTCATCGCGCACCTCTCTGTGCTTATCCTCTGTATCAGCTCGGTACGCCGTCGGGCTCTATCGAGGCCACCATCCGATTCCGATGATGCTTGCGACAGAAGGTGGTCGGAAGACGAAGTCTTCCCCACAGTCGCATGTCGCCACGAACATTGACGGTAGGAAGACGAGGAGACGGGGCGTCGGCGGGGCACAGTCGTGCGCTGCTGATGCTGCTGCAGCTGTGTGGTCAGCAAGAAAGGAGTCGAGGAACGTTTGATCTCATCAGTGAGCAGACTACGAAATTTTAGCGGTAACCGTTACCCACATGATCACGGTTTCGGTTCCGTCTGCAGCCTACGAGGCGATGGCCTACGGGCCGGGGCGTTGCCCACAGCCCTCTGATTAGCAGCGAGTGCGAGGAGCAACTATGATTGCCGCCGTACGCACAGGCTTTGTTTTCTGCCTTTTTTTTTCTGCACCGTGTGCTTTCCTGAGTGAAGTCGTACTGGCCGTCGAATAGTGGAAGCAGATGAATGAGCTACAGTCAGAAAGCTCCCGAGTAAAATATTATATTATATTGTTCTCCAATGCTTTTGCACCCGGTGGTGGTTCGGGGAGTCTGCGGGTTCTTTGCCTTTGCCTTTGCCTCTCTGTATCTTTCTCTTTCCTTCCTCGTCTTCCATCCACCGAATTATGAGGCGAGTTCTACACGTGATAAGAAGCGCACTTTTCTTCGATGCCTTCCACTGAGACTTTTATACGAGACATCGTGGTTCACTCCGAGTGCATCGTGTTGTGGCGGTAGAGGCATCGATTTTTACCAGAGGACTCGGCCATTGCCTCTCTCGACAGCAAGACACTTGGCCTCAGAATTCTAAGCACATCTTGCAGGGACAGAGGCTGTGGGTAGAGGATACCTGACGCTGGAGCCTCGGACCGTGGGGGACAAATGTTTCGGACGTTTGATGAGTGCTGAGAGGAGTATGGAGACACGTAGCCAGTGTGGAAGAATTGTGTGTGGAGGTTTGATCTGTCATGCTGTCTGACATGTGCCAGACGAATGCTTGATTTTTTGGCATCTAATCGGGTGTCGTTGTCTTCTCTGCTGCAGGAACTTAACATCATTTAAAATTGCGCGGAGGCTCGACCATGGGGACTCAATGGGAATATCACCTCTGCTACAGCTGAGCTAGCGGTTTTGATGTCTGTCTACAGCAAAAGTGGGTTCCTTTCCTCGACCGTCGTCAAGTCTGCATATGCATTTGCGTTTTGAGCCTTGGTTTCTGTGTTTCTTTGCAATCTGTTTCTTTGGTAGAGAGGTCACCTTGCTGACGGTGCTAGTTTTGCAACACTGTGCAGGCGATTTGGGGATGCAGGCAACTGCTAAAGTTGCAGAGAAGAGCAAAGCTGGTCACCACAGCGTTCGTCGTTCCTACATGCACTCGCAAGCTGAACAAGACGTCGTAGAAGAACGAATGGCCCCAGATCCTTGCATAGAAAGGGCAGTCGTCGAAAGGTTTCTTTATAATCTAGAGTTAGATCTGTCTCTTCTCCCCCCCGACGCGGCATAAAGATTTCAATGATCTTTCATTTTCTATCATTTAAGTGGTCTTTCTCTGAACTTTCTTCACTCTCGTGAAGCAAGCGTGAGTTAGCCTCAGAGCCTACAGCAACAAGAAGACGAAGTCCCCAGTGCCCGAAACATCTCAAATTTCAAGCCTTTGGATCCTCACCAACATGATGAATATGGAAGTATTATCGCCCGTTTCCGCCCCGTGGTTGAGGAAAGGCGGGCCTGCAAGCATGGGCTTCGATGGGCTCATAGATCACTCCAGTCGCAGCCCTTTCAGTAGTGGCAGTGCCTCGCGACTGGAGACTGTCAGCTGGTTGCAGCTTGCTGACAGAGAGGTTGTCAAGGCTTCCAAGTCTTGGCATGACATTTCATCAACCTTTGGCCTCGCTCCTCTGAAGCCTCCAACAACCATCAACACCAGCACCAACATCACCACTACCCATCACGTCGTAAAAAATCTTATGATTCACGTCGGGTCTCCGGTGGCACGCGAGAAGGGTCTGTATGAGAACGAAGGCTTTGAACGCTACTGCAGTAAGTTTGAAGACGCCTCACTGATTCCTGGCATTCCAGACGATGTGGCCAAGACTTGCCTGGCACTTATACCCCGAGAAGACTTCTCTTCCATCAGACGTGTTTGCAAGGCTTGGTGGGATCACGTCCAGACCCGGGAATTCTACCATACTAGGAAGGGTGTTGGTACTTTGGAGGAGTGGCTGTACGTGTTGGCGCAAAATCATCGTACGAGGGCATGCCAGTGGGAAGTGTTGAGTCCAATAACCAAAGAGTGGAAAGCACTTCCCCAGGCTCCAGTTGTGAAGGAGGGTTCGGGTACCATTGTTTTCAACGAGAAGCTGATGGTCATCGGCGGTGTGGATCCATCTGTAGGGAAGGGTCCAACTGCGGAGGTGTCGATGTACGACCCTGTGCTTGATCGGTACGTCTTCTAAGCTCTCTGCAGTTGTTACTATGTACTCTTCTCGTTGGGTTGTGTAATTCATGTTTTGCAATGTAACTGGGGTTATTCGAGATGTGTATGTTGAGGTGGTTTTTTCATGCAAAGTAGTATGATCTTGGAGCTTACGCTCAGTAGTACCTTCGTGCTGATTTTGATCTTCTGGTTGACAGATGGGTGAAAGGTGCTAGCCTGAACACGCCACGCTCTCAATTCGGGTGCGGGGTGGTGGACGGGAAGTTGTACGTTGTCGGAGGAAGTGGAGCTGATGACGAGCGCCTTTCCAGCATGGAGGTTTACGATCCGGAGAGGGACGAGTGGACCAGGAGCGCCAATTTGAGAAAATCACGCTGGAGCTGTTTTGCTGCAGGGGTAGGAGGAAAATTGTATGTAATGGGTGGTAGGAGTAGTTTTACACTCGGCAATTGTCGATCCATTGACGTGTTTGATCCCAAGACCGGGAACTGGACTGAGCTGAAGAATGGATGTCAGATGGTTCTGACGCATGCTGTGATCAACGATAAGATTTACTGCTTGGAGTGGAAGGATGAACGTTCTCTCAAAGTATATAACACCGCAGACAACACGTGGACGCGGATCCTCCTCCCCCTTCCCAGCAACATGCGCACGAGCTTCTGCCTGGGAACTGTTGGTGGCAAACTTTGGCTTTTTCCTAATTCGAAAATTACTAGTGAAACACTAGTATACAACCCTGAGGCTGCTAGGGGTTCCGAGTGGCAGACATCGCCTCTCAAGGCATCGGGACCCTGTTTTGGTTGTGCTGCGTTGACAGCGTAAAGCAACCCGTTTGGTCCTCGGAGGGGGATGTGGATCTTTACAAGGGAGATCCGTGTAAAGAGACTACATTCTGTCAGTCTGCAGTCCGTCCTGGTGATAGCCTTCTCATCCGAGTCTGCTGGAGGGATGAAGGGGGACATGTCCAAACATTTCTTTCTCGTCCGACTAATTAGGGTCGGAACCAAATTTATATTGTACGTATTAGGCATGTACTTAGTCCTTGAGGAAGAAGCATTCAACCGTACAGGATTTTAAGGTTTTTTCTTGTACAGATTTTGGAATGCGAACCTGTCCCTTCGTAAAGGAGCTATCTTCCTCTTCCCTTTAATTTATTTGACTGGAGTTCAAATTAACTTCAAGTCCCTATATTACCAAGACTCCAGTGTGATAAGTCGCTGTAGGTTCCGACCATCTCTCATGTCTTCATGTACAATCGCGGTCTTCATGTACACAATCTCTTTGCCTTGCGTTCGATGGATGACGATTACTTAGAAGTGGCCTTTGTAACTGTATAGCACTTGTACATCACTCAAACATTGAATAGAAACGTGTTTGCAACTCAAACCAAAACATGAATGTGTTATAAGGGAGAATCTTGGTGTCGACCTTACTGTGGGGAGATCTAATCAGGTGGATACATTCCAGTGTGGTCTTTGTCGTGTACATTTCTCCATGAGAGCCTGTGATGTCTCGACAGTTAGTCTTATGCAGATACTGGCGGATCTTTACTGTCGCGTCGATACTACAGAAGAAGCGGTCATCCCAGGAAACCCGCAGAGCCGAGAAGAGTCGTAATAGTGCTTACTACACCAACTTTGGTAAAGTTGTAATCAGCGCGAGAAGGAGGTAGTCTGCAAGCGATGTCGGCTGAGCCATAGATAGTGTAGGAAGTTATTGCACTGTCTAACTCCTCCCCACCCACGATGTGACAATAGCTTTTGCCTTCCATCACACCTCCCATCCTCGGTTTGATGAACAAAGAGAAAAGATGGGAGAATCTAGAGTAAGTAGTCACACATGTACATGTCTAGACCGACATTTTTGGTCAATTACTTGATATGTGGTATTTGAAACCCTCATGGAGGAAAATATCTCTGAAATATGTTGTTATTATTTGCATCAAGTAGATTGAATGGTTGGTGCACATTTGGACTATACACATGCAATTTTCAAAAGAGACGAAGTCTAGAAGATTGTTCACAAGGTTAAGCCTGATGGTTTTGGATGTGTGAAAAGCCATCGGTATCTGTATCAGCCATAACTTCAATTTTGTGAAAAGCCATCTGTAAGTGTATTTTCCCTAATTTTTCATCAGGGAATATGTCATCATCTCGAGATATTGCCCTAATCTCTCAAATTACTGCTTGCAGCACTGCCTGAACACAAACCGTCAGAAGAAAAAAAAGAAGATTTACAATTGGATTATGGTAGACCAGTGGCTATGACAGCATTATACACAATCCATCAATATTTTCTTACGTTTTTATATACCTATATAAATACATATATGTGCGTGTCATCCTTGCGCAGGGGCCATGCTAATCTTCTCTATATCGTTTCAATTTTATATAATTGACCGCGCACCTCTCAGCAATCTATTTCTTGGTATAATAAGGAAGAGAAACAAAAGGATACAATGGGGCTAGCCCCAAAAGCATCATAGTGGGACATTTCCTCGGAATAATGTAATCTAAGTTTCTAGATCCACGAAAATCACCAATTAGTGTTGATACAAGCCACTTGAAAAAATACGAAAAGTTGTAGTTTGCAAACATGATTGAATGTAATTTAATGGTAGAATAACAAAAAGATGAATTCTCAATGTACCACTTCATATCAGTTGATGTGGTTCTTCTTGCCGCTGAAGGGTAGTTTTCATGATACCATCCAATGTAATTTGATATTTCCAAGACTAAGTATGAAACGAGGTAATAAATTTTATTGGAAAATAATGTAAATTCTCATTCAATCTCTCAAACCATATAAATACCACATCCATAATGACATCGAGTAATTGTATTTTATTATCTTGACCCGAATCTAATTTCATAGATCTATACTTTCACAATCGTCTTGTGAGTTATGAAGATGCAAATGTGTGGATCAATTAAAGTTTAAACCTTTCTCTTTGTTAACGAAGGTGCATGGTGGGAGTAAAAAGTCAAAGACAAGATCAAAAGCTTGCATCTTTGACTTAAAAAACGTAGAGTAGCCCTTGTAGTAGAGTTTGATACTCTGAAGACCCTATGCTCCTCATCCGAACGCATTAAAATTTGTCAAGCGGCTCACCTATCTAAATTCACCTATCCACCAACCACATTAGAGTATGCTATACAAAATGCCACACGCCAAATGACAAAATGATTTGATTCATCTTGCTCTCTAACAACGAGGAAGTTGTCCGTCGATGCCATGGTTACCAGCCAATGGGTGGACATGGGTTGATGTAAAAGGCTTAAAAATTGTCCACTACACATAATTAGCCATATACAAAATAAACGTACAACGCATAAGAATTTAAAAGTCGATTAACTACACTTAGCCATATTGACAAAATCTGCTACACTCGTAAAAAACGAGGCAGCCGTCTATGTAGCTGTAGTGAAGGGAGAGTTTCGTGCAATTGATGTGTTTGTGGGTAAGCAAGTCATGCAATGCCGCTTGTCATATCATCCGACGAGGATATGGCATATCGAAAGTAAATTAGTCACTTTTGCTCAAAAGCCTAAATGATCAGTCTAGCCAATAGCAGAAATACACATCGTACTCGATAATTCACCGACCAAACTTCCAGCTCTCTTTATATTCACCCCTACACTCGTTTCGTGAGGATTTGGCGAAGTAGCGACCAAAAAGCCTCGATCTGCGGCCACGTGGAGTATACATCAACAAGAGCTTTTGCAACGAAAACGAGACACGATAACTCCCCCTGGAGTACAGTGTGTATGCTATTTCAGTTCTGTCTCCTAGCTGCAGATTTCCTTTCCCCAGCATATAGAAGGTGAAATGACAACCAACTAGTTGCAGGTGAGAATCACTTAATACAAACTGATGGCAGATGGAGATTGCGGAGAAAGCCTACATGGGATCAAAGAAAGATATGTTGCCAACACTCTGTTGACTTTCTGATTCCGTGTCTACAGCAGCATCGGATGATGATCGGACATTGTTTGCCGTAGAAGTAGCAGGAAAGAACTGCCAACGCAATGAGCAGGACACGAACCAGGTGTTCCACTTGTCTGTGCTTTTATTCTCCTCATGAGGACAGCAGCTGACCGAATTGTCAGAACAGAATCATCTATTTTTGTAAATCATGTATCCGGACTTTCTTCAAGGCACTTGCCTTGAAGAAAGTCCGGATCAACACGATCGCGTAGATCGGCGAATTTGGAGTTTTCGATCGAGAGTATGCAAGCATCTAAATACCACCGTCCATGTACTTTTACTAGTACTACCACTACTGTTGGTGAAAAACGCCGAGTCACATGGTGAAGGTCTCAACAGGTCTTACAAAGACACTGCAGTCTGGATAACCTTGTAACTTCCAGTCCCTCGATTCTGCTTTCATGGAGTAACACGCTCAATGGGTCTGTATCAAAAGGTATCTCTATGTCGTGACTTCCAGTCGGAATCATACGAATTGTCATAGATTTGAACATCAATTTTCTCATGGTTCCCTCATGGTAACCCATTTCATTTCCAGATTTCTGCCAAGCTGGAAAAGCTTGACTAGATTGTTAGCGAAATACCAGCGGCAACTGGCTGCCCTCTCCCTCCTTCAGCTCGACAGGTCGCTTCTACCAGATTCGTGTAGAGCAATTCGCTGGCTGTTTTTCCGGAAACGATTTTACGAGTAACCCCATACTTAACAGGTAACAGGGACACGATTCACGGACGTAGACGACGGATCTAGGAGTAATAACAGAGTCCAGCTCCATCCATCTCATTGTTTAATCTCTACAGGCCAGCCGAGAGCTTTGATTCAACAGTTCGCATTGCTTCGCCGACCAGCTGGCTGCTCAAAGAAGCAATTGGGGAATGAACGATACGGAAATTGGGATGTTATAAGGTCAAACCTTTCCAAATTCATCCCGAGGCTCGTTCTTCTACAATTCATGACAGCAGTAAGCGGGCATCAATCACAAGAAAGCGTGAGTGAAGAGCATCTCTCCTTGCTGCTCGGCAGTCCTTCATATCGTGCATGCATTATGTGCGGAATCATTTGCGCTTGAACTAGAAACCGCAACTGTTCCATTCAATAATGACTCACACTTCCCGCATCTAACTACATACACAGGCGGGCATGCTCGGCCAGCTCTCTTGTTCAGAAATCCTGATGCCAACTTCACTCCGCTTTTCTGTACGCTTTCATAGTGCCGAGGGAACGCTATACTTCAGAATCATTTTTAATTTATGGCACCCCTCGCAATCCTCACATAGCACGATTGACGAGGAACTCGGATGGCACTAAAACTTTTACTCTGTAAATCCTCCCTGTCGATGAGGTTTCAAGGCGCCGAGTCCGTTCTCAAGGTGACGACTTGCTGAGACTCGATGACATACAGTACTAAATTCGAAAGATTAATCGAGAGCACCTTCTTTACAGGTCAATATCCACCCGGAATTTTTTCCTTCCCTCACGATCTGGACCAGTAATGTGACCGTCAGGGCAAAAGGTGCTGGATCGGATGAAAGATCAGTGTACAGCTTCAAGCCTTCTAGCCAGCAACTGTTTAGCTGTCGAGGTAGACAATGAAAATCAGTCAGTAAAAAATTATACCGTTAGATGTACGACCACCTGAAATTTAAAGCTTTGATCGACGAATCCAAAGTGGTTCTAATTGCTTCAGGAATTTACCAAATAACTGGGTCAGAATTGCATTAGTGGGCGCGGTGTCAGTTTGGAGGAAACCGCGTGTACGTGTACATGCATGCATATGAGAGACAGTGTGACGATGCCGAAGCCCGCCCGCCATGCCGCGTCCAACAGGCCAGAAAGAATTCAAGCACAATTGTACGCATGATACGTACATCCTTCTGGTTGGCAGTTGTTGTGCGGAATCACTGAGGATGCGAAAACCTCCATGTGAACTACGAGTCAAGAGCCCACACTGGTGAGACCTGGTCACTTCGACCAGAGCAGCTCATAAATGTTAGTTTTAAACTGGCGTACAGGCTGGCTGTAGAAAAAGAGCGTTACATGTTCTCATTGGGAGGACCTGAAAGATGCGGGGAGAGTATGATGACACACTCAAGAGAATTAGAGCTGTGCAGAAGACCAAAACGATCTAATATCGGTCTCCTACTGAGGATAATGTATGACAATAAAGTAAGAATGGTTTTTTTAATTCAAAATATGAAAATAATCTGATACTA